GGTATAAAAATATGTACAGTTGTGTGGTATTTATTATAATAAATGAAGACATGAATGGATAAAGGGCCTATGTCGCATTTTTTTTAAAATTACTTTTTGTGTGTTAGAGGTTTAAAAAATGGTAAATTATTTTCTTACAATGTTTCAGCAAAAGCTGATAATAATCATTAGATTATTCAGAAGATAAAGGGTCTATGTATAAAATTATTTGATAAAATTCTATGGATAAAGGATATATGTAACTTAGGATGGTTAGCCGGAGAGGCTAGTCGCGAGCTTAGTGTGCATCCACTTACTTGCAACAGTTAAGCAGTGATCTCTCCGGTTACGTCGTCGATGGGTGACTGCTGGGAGGTTCCACCATGGGCCGTGTCACCATGGGATTTATCCAACTAGCGTTTAACCATCGACGACGAGGAATGAATGAGAATGAATGAGGTTGTGAATGGGAAAGTAGTAGGACCTTCAAATGGTGGTACAATAAGCCGCAGGCTGCAGTACTGCCAGACTACAGACGGATTAGGGTGTAGCACGGGAGGTCTGAAGGGTGTAAAAAAAAAACTTAGGATGGTTCATATGCCTCATTTTTATTAAGCACTAAAAATTGCAGTTAATTTATTCTTTGGGATAAAGGGAATATGTACAAATAAATTTTCATAGGCCCCTTATCCATTGAAAACTGATATCGTTATAGACCGTCAGATAGTGACAGGTTTAGGTGCCCCATTTTCGCATACAAACCTTGAAGAGGGTTGAAAAGTACTGTGACGGGCTCCTGGTTCACCTACAATGAATCAGCGAGTCTGTATGGCGCTATGATGGTGATACCCGAATAGAGGTTGCTCAGGCGCCAGTTTTAGTATCGCAGTTTGCTCTGCGACCCTAAAGTACACCAGAGTGTACTCAAAGTAAACTCAGTGGAGATAAAAAAATAATTCCAGGCGGTCACTGCCATGTAGCCACTATACTAGAATAAATAAAAATAAAACACTTATCTCCTTTACACCTTGTACCCTACGGTACCCTGAAAGAGAACGGTTAAGAACCAGTAATAAGAGAAACACAGGAAGAGGTACTAAAATATATATTTACAAAAAAAATACAACGGTAATTATATATGAACAGCTCCCTATATGTGGAAAACTTATTAAAAATAAATTGTTACCAATGAAAACTAATTAAATATTAACGGCTCCCTATATGCGGAAAATTGATTAAAATTAAATTATTACCAATGAAAACTAATTAAATATTAACGGCTCCCTATATGCGGAAAATTTATTAAAAATAAATTATTACCAATGAAAACTAATTAAATATTAACGGCTCCCTATATGCGGAAAATTTATTAAAAATAAATTATTACCAATGAAAACTAATTAAATATTAACGGTTTAAAGTCTCTCTCATGTAGACATCTGGTAGTCCATAGCTTCTAGAGGAACCCTTTTCCACGAGCTGTTATAAAAACTAGAGGCTGAAACAGCTCTGACCATCGACAGGGGGAAGCAAGCGAATACCGCTATCACCCCCTGATTAACGCGAAAATGGATTATTAAAAATAAATTAATACACTCGAAAACAATTGAAATATGACGGTAATCAAATGCAAGCAAATAAATGAAATCAAAGTTTTCGGAACGTCCCTGTATCTTAGACGAGACCGATCGGGGCTCTGACAATTATTGAATGAGAATGATAATTTTCAGCGCGGTGTTTGGGAGAAAAATGCAATGGTTAACGTAAAAATTATTTTGAGATTTGCCAAAAGGCGATCGAGACGGTGCGGTGTGTGAATTAGTTTTATAGAAAACGTCGTTCAATAATTAATTGTTGACGGAAAACGAAATGATTCATATATAGTTGAATGAATAAATAAAAGAAAAGATAAACTTACATAAAAAAATACAGGGTGCTTCTTATAAAAAATTGCCAACGGTTTCCCACTAAGGGATGAAATGAAAAATGCTGGGCATGAATCAAAATTATTTCACTTATCGGGCGGGTGTCCCAAACTAATTGTAAATAAAAAAATAATATAAGGTTTCCTACCTTTAGAAAAATAAACGGGATTGTTCAATATTCTGTCGATATTACGGTCACACACGGAGTATTTACTAGGCACTATCGAAGGGTGAATCGTTTTCGGTGGAAGTTTATTGGAATCTGACGAAATCGATTTGCACTTTCAATGATTCGATACATCAGTTGTTGTTTGTTGATTATTTCAACAGAATACACGTCCTCTTTTATAAAACCCCAGAAGCAAAAGTTAATAGGGTTAAGATCTGGACTTCTGACTGGCCAAAAAATTGGCGCATCACAGACCCTTCCAATCCATCGTCCAGGGTACAGACTGAAAAGATATTCCCTAACTTTGTTATCGAAATGCGATGAAGCTGCATCTTGTAAATACCACATATTTTCCCTTATTCCTAAATTTACCTCTTTAAAGTACTACTAACTCTGGTTAATCATTTTGCAAGTAATTTGCACCTTTTATTATTTGGAAAAAATACTGGTACTGTTAAATTATTATTCACAATGCCTACCCAAACATTGACTTTAAAAGTCCTTGGTAAGGAGTTATTTTTTTTGCGTGACTCATTTGTGTTCGATATGGTAATTCGTAATGCCAGTTCTATCAGTAAACAAAATATGATTAATGAAGTTGATATTTCGATTGGTTTCCGTTAAGAACCAGTCGCAAAATCTCATTCTTTTAGGACAATCTTCATCTAGTAATTCTTTAACGGTTGTTAGGTGATAGGGATTGAGCTGCTGTTCCTTCATCTTCTCCAAACCATCATGTGACCAACATCTAATTGAGTAACTATTACCCTTGTACTGCTTCCAGGGTTTTCTTCGACTAATTCTAAAATCTCATCGTTTGTATCCATGTTGTTCACCTCCCTCCCCTGTTCCCAACTACAAATAGCAAGCAAAAAACACGACATGTCACTTTTTTTAGTCAGATAAAGGAGTACTAGTATTTTATTAATTTATCATCGTTTTCTTACCATTTTCATTCCTTTTACTATTCATTGTTCTTCATTTGCATCATCATAAAAGCAAACATGCTCCTTATACAGGGTGTTTCAGAACTATGAGATCAGACTTCTAGGGGTTATTCAGTGCAACAGTAGAAAACATTTGAGTATAGGGACCCATGTCCGGAAAAGTGTCACTACGGCCCTAAGATGCGTTAAAATTTAGAAAGACGATGAATTGCCTAAATAAGATTTAATGCATTTAATTTTTGCCTTTTGTACATGATATCATCACAACAATTGTTCAAAATATCTTCCTCCAACCTAAATACACTGATTTAAACCTCGCACATGATTTCGGCGGACTTGACTAAAAATTTGATGCTCATTTTGAATGATTTCAAATGCTGCTGTAATTCGTCCAATTAAGTCTTGCTCTGTTTCTACTGGAGTTTCGTAGACCAAAGACTTTACATGTCCCCACAGGAAAAAAACTAGCGACGTTAAATCGGGTGACCTATGAGGCCAAGAAACTGCTCCACCTCTGGCAATCCAACGGTGCCCTAACCGCTGAACCAAATACTCGCGTACTTGTACAGCAAAGTGAACCGGCGCTCCATCATGCTGAAACCACATTTGCTGTCGAACGTTTATTGGAACATTTTCAAGAAGTTCTGGAAGAACTTCCTCCATGAAACGCCGGTAAACAGGTCCTGTTAACCGTTCCGGTAGAAGGTATGGCCCAATCAAATAATTATCAACAATGCCTGCCCATACGTTGACAGACCAACGTTGCTGATGTTTTCTAGGAAAAATTACATGGGGATTTTCTTCGTCCCAAACATGGCTATTCCTACTATTAAAAATACCGTCTTTTGTGAAAGAGACTTCATCGGTCCATAAAACATAGCGTAAAAAATTTGGTTGTGCAGCGATTTGATGAAGAAGTCATTGACAAAATTGAACTCTAGGATGATAATCGGCTGCAGTCAATCCTTGAACTTTCTGGAAGTGGTAAGGATAAAGTTGTTGCTCGTGTAGCACCCGCCAGACGGAAGCGTTACTCGTATTCATATCCTTAGCAATGTGACGTGTGCTACTTGATGGTTCGTCGGCAACTCGCTGAAGGACCTCTTCTTCCGTTCTTACGGTTTTAGCAACATCAGTATCATGCATGTTGGTTTTAAACATGCCTGTCTCGGAGAGCCGCCGATGAATAGCAATAAACTTTTTTTTATCCCGGATGCTGTCGTTCGGGATCACGTTCTTGATACAACCGTGCTGTTGCTCGTGCATTGCAGCTTGTTGCTCCGTATGCCAAATGCATATGCGCCAATTCTTGATTGGTAAAGTTTTCCATTAGCAACAATTAATTTTTGTTAAATTCTTGCAAACTTCACAAATACGATAGCACGACTAAGGCGATATGGAATGCAGCTACAAAAAAATCTCTGTTATAGTTTTTAAAGATAACAACACACAGGCGCCGGTAAATTGTTTAAAATCATCAGCTATAAAATTTTTAAACATTGACATTTTGAACAATTGTGATGATATCATGTACAAAAGGCAAAAATTAGATGCATTAAATCCTATTTAGACAATTCATCGTCTTTCTAAATTTTAACGCGTCTTAGGGCCGTAGTGTCGTAGTGACACTTTTCCGGACATGGGTCCCTATACTCAAACATTTTCTACTGTTGCACTGAATAACCACTAGAAGTTTGATCCCATAGTTCTGAAACACCCTGTATTGTCTTAATTTTCCTTTTTTACTGACTCTTCATTACCCTTTTAACTAAAAAATATATTAAATTTTATAAAAAAAATAGCTTCTTTTTGTTTTTGCTACGGCTGTTCTCCTGCTACTACTTGTGCTTCTCTCTCTACCTTCTCTTTTCTGCTCTGCTTTCTTCCTCAGCTTATCTGCCTCTGCTTCCTCCCTTTCAGCTCTCAACTTTTCCTCCTTCTTCCTGCTACACTTAGCTACCAATATATAAAATTTCGTACCTTTTTAAATTATTTTCTTTATTTAAACTTTCCAATTCAGTTAAACAAAACAATCTATTATTTAATTTTTTTAACATTCCAATCATTTTCCCTTGTGACAATTTTCAAATTTCCAATTGACAATTTCACAACGAACAAAAAACCACCATGACATCCTCCTTTATAACTTGATATCATTTTTGCATTTGATTATCTAGATTTAAAACCGCCCCACTTTTCTAAAAATTTTATCTCAATTTTGACAATGACAAATAATCACCTTGAAATTTTCCATATTATACAGTATCCAATCTCATCAAAAGGATTGAGCTAGAAGTCTCATTTGAGGTTGAAAGGAGGAAACCAATCAAAAAGAAATTAACGAGAGAATGGTAAGGAGCCGTTTCCAGGGAAGCTTTCATTTCCTCGTTTATTTTCTTATTGATTAGTTTCCCCTTTCAACCACAAATGAGACTACTTCTGGCTCAATCCTTTTGATGAGATTGGCTACTTACTATTTATACTCTATACTAACTTGTGTGTTATTTGTAACTTTTTGTTCGTTGATTCTGCAAATAGATTTTCCTGTCGTCAGGACTGCTATAATGATATTTTATCCTGAACATATTTTTGGAAATCGTACTGCTATGATTATTTCCTCTCAACTGTTTTCAACTCCTATACCCTAATAATTTTCTTTTTGTCCTTATCCATACTTCCATTCCCTTTCCTTTTCATAGACGTCCAGATGTATTGCTGCTTATATAATCTTAACCTTTTTATTAATTATTTAAGACAGGCTTTTATTGACATTTCTTAATACCTGTATGTAATACAAAATTTATATTATTTGTAACCATGATGATGCATGGTTCAATAGCCGAATTTTCAATAAATTGATGTGATATATGATTTTGTGTTTGTTATTACATCTTTGACCACATTTGAAAATATTCCCTGTTCTATTTACAATAGTTTAGTTACAATTTTTCTCAATTTTTGTTTTAGGACAGAGTAAGTATCCTTGTGCATTAGAACGGCGTCTGCAGACCAAAAGTTAATTGTAACTATTTCCGTAATTATACCGTATCTCGTACTATTTTTTTTTTTTTTTAATTGTAGATAAAGGTCCAACTTAGGTGATTCAGGTATTGCTTTTTTTTTAAATTAATTGTTTTTAATTAAAAACGTGTGGTAGAAAATGGCCTATTTTTAGACCTTTTTCATTGTAAGAATAAACTACAAATTTAATAAATTTTCTGAAAATGAAACCTTGAACCATCTAAGTTAAACATTTTCCGATTAAATCGTTCAATCGGAAATTACGAAAAGGATCGGAAAATACGAAAAGGCTCAGACCTCCGAAATAGTTAAAATGAAAATTGGGTTGCATTTTATTAAAAAAAATTTGGACGAAAAATGGCGTCCTTACTTTCCGAAAATAATAATTACTTCATCCCTGCTTCCATAGATGGATCGAAAAGATATTACATTTCGTTTATGCTTTTACAGCATAAAAACGAATTAAAATTTGATAACATCAAATGTTTTCGTTTTTTAAATATATTGTAGTATTTAAAAAAAAATAATTACACTAAAATGAGTTAATAAAATGACAGAAAATATAGAATGTGCGATATTAATTTACAGTCGAGCAATGATCGCCTGGTTGAATTTGGTTACGTTGTTGAGTGATGATATTTAAATAAGCAGCTGGGTTTAGATACGATGGTTTTAAAAATAAGTTAAATTTTAATAATAAATACAATGTACTCTTTTTAATTTTTTAATATTTTAACTTTAAAGTAGTTTATATTACAGTATCGAAAATTAATATAGAGTTACTATTATAAGCAGATACAACAGCGATAGTAACAATAGTAGTCTTTTTATGTTGTGGTAGTTAAGATTCGGTATCGACGGAGAGTTAAATGCATTAGTTACTCTATTCATTTTCGTTACTGTGGTATATAGATATTATAATAGAAACACCTATAAATTAGATCACTTGCTTCTAAAAAAAATAATCCCAATAGGATAGTTTATATACCTATTATTTTTTTACTTTCCTATCCCAACGGGATAGTGTATGAGTAAATAACAATAATTTACATCAACGATGTAGAAAAAGATAATCTTCACGTAGGTAACTTCATAATCGAATGTGTTAAAATTTTAAAGTGTTGAAAATAAATAAAACCTTTATAAATATACACCTTTAATAAAAGTATCACTTTTTAGTTTTAATGAGTTAAATATATAGAATTTCAAAACAAATCAAAATAAATTAGATATACAATATTAGCAGTTTAGCTAGGTACCTGTAGTTCACGAAATTTTGTATAAATAAGTAAATTAAAAAAAATCAAAAAACTTAAAAATATCTTTATTAATTTTAAAAAGATAATACATAATTTATTTACTCTTCGGCGGATCTCTGCACTTTAATTTTCTACCTCTTCTATTCAAAATTATTTCTGGAGCCACACAATCCTCATAAAAAACTCTCAGTTTCTCCATTAGATTAAAAAAAAATCATCAAAATATATTTTTTAATAAAAAGATGATTCTCTTCTCCTACATAAACTATAAAATGGCACATTTTCATCGTGAGATACCAAGTTGTCATTGAATCTAAAAACATAATAATTTTTAATTTGTTAGAGAATATAGCTTTCATTAAATTACTTTGAAATGTATTCAGAAATTTCACCTGATAATAGAAATTGTGGTTTTCCTTTAACTTAATTTCACCATTTTCAATTCTTAAACAAGGAACCATTTTTTTCTCTACTGCCTCTCTCAATGAAAGATTAGATTGGCTATTTTTAAAAAACATTTAACCTCGACAAAATTAATTAAATCGAAAAACTAGAAAAAGTTATTGAACTATTGTTATAATACGTAAATAATTATCGCTTATCATCAGGTGATGCACCTAGGAACCCATATTGCACATCAACAAATAACCCTGATGGTATAAATGTTTTGCCAGTTTCTTCTTGAAATTTGTTTATAGCCACACCTTCGTTTTGTATGCCGTTACTCAATTGTTGAGGTAGTTATTCCTTGTTTGTCAGCCAAGATTTTTTTTACCAAACAATCGCATGGACTACGAGCCCTTCTTTTGGCAACTTCCCCAAAATGAGAAGCCGTTAGCCGAAATCTTCTTTCCTCCAAGTATCTTGGGTTGCTGAACAATCCTATAGTTTATTCTAATATTTATTGTTGCTTACTCGTCACCTAAAAATATTTAAATATTAAATCATTAAAAAGTAAAAAAGTAAAAACGTAATATTCATGTTAATACATCTAGTCGGTCAATTAATTTATTAACTTCTTCTTTAAGACATTCATCACTGATGTCTACCTCAGCAACATTAGATCCGTACTCCGTTGTTTCTGATGGTTTTGATTTTTTTATAGCCTTACTTTTTCTATCAGTAGGTTTTCGTTTAATTTTGTCACGCTCCTCATTATTTACCTATTTTCTTAGAAAATGTGCCAATTAACTCCATTATTGTAACAAAGAGCGCTCAAAACACACCTACTTTGGAAACCCTTCCTTTGAATGAGATTTAATCGTTTTCCCATATTATAACGAGCAATAATATTCATAAATGATTCTGCTTTGTTGGTTGTTTCATTGGCTAAAAGAAGGTGTGCTTTTGTTAAAAGTAAATTTAATGCTGCTTATACCTGGTGATGTGAATTCAGAATGTTTGTTAATATCGTTAACATCGCATATTTCTCTTCGGCAGTTAACATAATTACCAAAAACATGTGTTACACTATTTCTTAGATCTTATTTAAGTTGTGCAACGCTTCCATCTTTATAAGTGTAAACCTCGAATTGTGCTGCCTTTACCAATTTTTGTATGATATCACCTGTTACATAATTCCTTGCCTTTGAAGAAATGGTTCTAGTGCTCTTCTTTATGTTGTAAAGATGTTTGCTATAATTTCTAATGCAATGATTTGTGCATTCCGACTTTGTTACCTGAAATTAGAAATACAATAGCGTAAACTAGTTTAACAGATATTAAAATGTGTACCTACCTCTATACGGAAAAATTGTTTATTATCCACCACTCAATATGAAATAGAAATATTCAAGAACCAAATCGTTTTTTTTTATAGAACTCCCCATACTAGCTTTCAACGTAATGGAAACAAATCAAAATATTAAAAGTTTAATCTTTTGTTACTGTGATGTTCACAATTCTTTTCTCTAATGAGAATGAAACTCACTTTTCTTAGAATCCAGGTAGTCAAAATTAAATTATTTCCATTTTATTACTTTAATAAGATTTATAACCTTAATCTATGAACATTATGAATTTTAAAATCAAATGACTACTTCTTTGATCCTCTAAGTCTTATAATAAGTATTATAATAATAAATTACGGAAAGTGAAATCATTTTAATTTCCCAGTATTTTTTAAATTTGTATCTTATATTTCTTATATTGTAAAACAATGAAAATGAGAGCAATTTGTTTTTCTATCTTATGGAGTTAAAAATTCTTTTAAAATCAATATACGAGGTAAATATTTATTTCCACAGGTGTTAACGATATACGCCATCAAATACTGTGGGATTTAAACCCGAATCGCCAAATCCAAAGTCCAAAGCTCTGCCCATTCCTTTATTAATGGTATTAATTTATATACAACATTTTTATAAATCTAAATATTTCGTTTTCAGCTAAAGCAAAAATCGGTCATTTAATTATAGGTAATTATAAATTTTCTCCGTATTTTAAAAAATGAAATTTATTTTTTTTGATAACATGGATCTAGCAATCAGTATGTAGGTATATAGAATTATATTTATATTTATAAAAAAATTAAAAAATAAATAATTATATAATTACTTATTGCTTTGTAATTACTATTTAAATAAAATAAATAATATAACTATATTATTATTTTGGTACTAAAATATTGATCTTCCCTCGTTTCTGTATCCAGATAGAAATGATTCTATGCTAAGAACTCCGTGAGTAGCAAATAACAAATTCAACGGATCGATAATTCATTTTGACGAGTAGATTATTTTACCAAACATTTGACTACAGGCACTATTGGTTAGGCAGTCCCGCAGTACAGAATTCGACCGCAAATCCTTTGGAGACTCTGTCCCTAAACTTACTGGAGAAAAGACGTATTTAACACGTTGTGGGCATTTATATATTTTTTTTAACACTGCAATGAATGTAAGATGGATAATTATTACCGAGTTAAAAGGCAGTGTAAAGAACAACACAGCGATAATAGCCCATGTAATTATTTCTGTAAACTTTCATTAATGTGAAAATATATATCTTCATAATTAATGGTCGAATTACAACAAAGCCTCTAGTTGAAACGAGTGCATTGTAACCCGTATAGCGTTTTGAGAGATAAGTAGACAGCAATTTAAATTTTGCAGGGAAAACTTTTAACAATGCGGTTTAACAGCGAAATGCGGCGTACCTTGCCGTTTCCATGTTATGGAAATTTCCTAGATAAAAGAAAAATGTTGAAAAAAAACATTGACAGGTACATCTATCCATTGCAGCGATACAAAAAGATTTAGTGTTACAACTGGCCAATTCTGATAATTTATGCATAAATATGCCGATCTCTTTGCTGTAGTTTAGTTTAGTTTTTCCTATGTTTTGAAATAATAATACATTTGAAAGACATGATTTACTTAAAATATTGAAGACAGGCAAAAGACAAATACAACTAATAATTTATTTCCACAATAAATACAAATTATAGTAAATATATAAAAAGACAAAATCCAGAAATAAAGATTTTTTTCGAAAAAAAAAAAAAATTATATTTCAAGTGCATAAAAATATGGTGTTGCTGTTTTTACAGAAAAAAACTTTATAAAACAGAGGTGCTCTGCTGACTTCGTTCGAAGCTATCAGAGCATTTTGGGTTTTGCAGAAAACGAGGAGCATAAAATTTTTGAAAAGGGTATGTATAAAAACAGCCTAAAATTATGGCATATGTTTTGACTCAAAATTTCATAGGTGCTCTGCAGCATTCTTTGGTATCATAATTATTACTAGGTTCACTAACAAAATCTATTTCTAGATCATTTTAACACTTGCTGCGATTACAAAAAATGTCTCTTTATATGTCAAAATTAGAAAAAATATTTATAGGAATAAAGGGCCATATACACTGTTTATTATATGTGATATAAAAACAAAACAGCATGATAAATATTACAAACCTTGAAATGCAGCATATCCTAAGAATTGTACACTAAAAATTTCATTTTTGTTAATTACAACAACCACATCATAAGGTTTTTGCCGTACTTTATGTTTAGGTGTAATTTGTCCATTTACTGTGCAAGTATCTCCTTCTCTCTTAAGTTGTACATGGAAAAAGTAATTATCTCCATATTCTTGCTTGGCAGAACTAAAAATAAAACATTATTTAATAAAGTGAATAGTTTTTTAGTATTTTTAAGAGCCCTACTCTAAACATTTGGCCTTATCAGATATTTTTACTAATTTTTATTATTTTTTTGTGTTCCAAATTATTTTATAAAACATAAACATATTTGTGTTCTTATTATCTCAATTTAGAAATATTATTATAGATTTACCCATCTAAACATTAGACATGTGTACAATAAATATAAAAGAGTGTATGTACCATTACAAAAAGTAGTTATGCATAATATACAAAAATGTACTTAAATTACAATATTATATACAACGATATTTAGCAAGTAGGTAATTTTCAACAAATAAAAACAGTATTGCAGTAAATACTTGCACCCTACCCTTCTAAATACATTTTTAGATGTTATTTATTAGTTTTAATTTTTGAGGCAAACATGATATATTTTAATGTTTAACAATCTATAAGAGTCCTGTTTTTGATAATCTAAATTTAAGCAAAAACAACCAAGGGCCAAAATGTATAAACTCGCTTTATACAATAACAAATTTGCTATTTCTCAGGTACTTAGTACGTAATTATGTTTTTACTTCTAATTACTGAAATAATTTAATATCTACCGGTCCCTCTCTCATTCTACTTCAAGGTATAGATATATCCTTTCAGTTTCAGGTGTTATATTTTTGGATATCAGTGTACACTAATATTTTATGGGAAAAATATTTTTTCTTATACATATAAATGAGGGTATTCCAAAATATAACAGGGTGGTAAAAGGTATATTTTTGAAGAAAAAAAACTGTTAGTGTTCGATAATCCTAATGGCCTGAGATAAATATTTTTTTTACTATAAGGTGTATTACCCCATATAAACTGTAACTACTATTAAAACAAATTATAAATAAAGTTTTACATACCTTTCTTTCTGTCTTAACAGGCTTTAACTTTGGCACTTAGAAACTGAGTATTGTTAAAAAAATGCAGTAGTCATATCTTGGTTTGCAATGGGTAAAACACCTCTTTCATAAATCCAGCTGACAAACTCATATTAATAATAAAATTAAACCAATTAGCAAAGACAAAAGAAACAACAACAACAACAACAACAACAACAACAACAACGAATGTTAGGTTAGGTGGTCTAGGTGGTGTCAATTTTAAGTGTCACTAAGATGTGCGTTCACTTCGACATTCTATGTGTCGGTTTGTTCGTTGGCTTTGTTTTGTATAACAAAAAAAACTTCGACACAAGCTGATTGGTCTATTCCCGATGACGTATACATTTCAAATTTTAAATCTCAATTGGACTTAATTTAAAAACTTTTGGCTTTTTTAACGTACTGATTATTTAGAACAACTTGTATAGCGACTAACTATTACAATATAATTTATAAAACAGCATATCTCACATGTGAACATGACCCATTGCAGTTGCCTATTGAGGGGGATAACAACGCGATGTGAAAAGATCCCACCAGTGCATTTTTTGTTCAGTAATTTCTTGGCACTATATAATTAAGATGTTGTAATACGTACGTTTCACCGAGAAACGCCCTGTATTTAGATGTATCTGTTGTGTTAAAATAGAAGTTCCATCGAGTGTGCCAAGTAGAAAACCAAAAAGTCATAATTATTACTAACCGTGCGTATTTTCTTTCCAGGAAAGACTCCAAAGGCAATTAGACGAACAAGCCAAACACTATGAGTGGCAGTTAACGGAGATGCATTCGATTATCGCTGAACAGGCACGAGCATTGCATGAACATCGGATTATGCCCTTACCTGAAGAAGAGGAGGCCTCAGGTGAGACAAAACATTCTAATTATTTGAGTAAGAATGCTGTAAATTAAGAATACAGGAACGAGTTGAAAGAAATTATTTGTATTATTTATGGAATAATTAAAAATGAACCTAAATTTTAATTTGCCATTTATTTGTTTTTGGAGTTGGATAACTCTTTTCTTCGTCTAATAGCAACCGAGCTTTGATTTCATTATATATGAATATTGTTCAGGGAGTTTTACAAAATGTGCAGCCATGTAAAATTGAGAAATTTGAATTTGGGAAATACGAGCATGCAAATTTTTTTTGGTTCATTGGTTACAGCTTTCCCCTAAGTATACCACCTGTATCAGTTTCATCTCAGAGAGTGATAAATAAAAAATAATCTTTTTCAAAAATTGTTCTTTACCTAGGCAAAAACACACTAGTTTTTAGTGCTTTTATTGCCATACGATGGTTAAGAGCCCAAATACAGCCGAAAATGGGATAGGTAGGATTCTATATCCTTCATGATGAAATCTTTGTGGTTTTCAAATATAATACGTCCGCTCAAATAGGTTTACCATTCAGTAAAGTAATGATAATAAAAATTATACAGCTTGTCATAGTCACCTCTAACTTTCAAATCGATTTTACTCAAAACGACTTTTTTGGACATACATTTGTGCTCTTAGCCATCGTAAGGACTTTTAATTATCAGGGATGGTACCGCTATAGTTAATGTAAGTCATTTATACAAGGTGATTCAAAAGTACGTCAGCTTAAATTTAACGATTTTTTATAAATTGCTTTATTGGGTTATTGGGGATAAAAAAGACTAAAATACAAAATTTTATTTGTAAACAAAAGAATTAATAACGAGCCTTAATAACAACCTGGCAGATATTATGCATGCTAAGTATTTAATTCCGCTTAAACATAGGGTCAATATTATTCCATACACGCTGTAGACCCCATTGTACTTGTTCCAATGTTTCTGACGGATTAGGTGCCTCACGAAGCTCAATACCCACTGTTACCCAAAAATTCTCAATGGGGTTAGTATCTGGACTTCGGGCTGGCCAATCCATTAGGCAATCTCAGTTTCGTCTAACTACTCCTGTACCTACCACTCTTGCCGTATGCGGTCGTGCAATGCCGTGCATAAACAGGAAGTCTTCCCCAATAAATGGAGCAAATGGCATGGCATGGTCTTGCAGAATTTTCGCAATGTATCGGTCAGCCGTAAAATGTTCTACAAAAGATAGGTCCGTTTTTGCCCCTAGAGAAATACCCCCGCAACCCATTACGGAACCCCTTCCGTAACTAACACGCTCTTTAAAATTACATTATGCATATAGTTCGCCAGATCTTCTATACACGTTTACGCGTCTATTACTTAGACCAGTCAATAAAGACATCCTATTTTGAAAATTTTACAATAATTATTACATAAGTTTTCAAACTTCTATCATTTAGGCCAGTCAATAAAGACATCCTATTTTGAAAATTTTACATTAATTATTACAAAAGTTTTTAAATAATCGGCTAGTTTAAATAACATTAAGGTAGTTCACTCGTAAAACGGCTTTTCTTAAGAATTCAATAAAATTGAAATATAAGGTTAATGAAAGTGTCTTTCATGCAACTAAAAAAAATTAAATTTTTTGACCGTCTGTGAAACGAGATATTAACAATCAAAATGTGCATAATTAACACTCTTGAAGCCTCTCATGTACATAAGTAATGTATTTATTTCAAGATATCTCGAAAACGGTTCTTACCATATTTTTTAAAAACTAATGTAATGTAAATCAAGAAGTTATAAAATTTTTCTATGAAACGCTGAATTTTTTGACCGTCTTAGTAAAAAGATATAGGTTTTTAAAATAAAAATATTTTTAAAGCAATCGACGCGTAGTTGCGTAAAATTATTACAACTTGGCAACGTTGTATACGTTGCAATCAAGGCGTTGTACTAAAATAACACTCGATCAGCTAAGAGGATGTTATAATCTCGCGACGTTTTCCTGAAAAATTAATTCGTCCACTGTATTTGAGAACAGGAATCAGCGGTTCTGTTTGAACCAAAACAAACTCTTAAAATTAATATGAAGAAGTCACAAATATCTATAGCAAACCATTGATATATTTATGAGGTTGCCGGATGGATTTTTATTAAAATCCATATATATAAGCTTACATGTGTTTTGTACAGTCTCTTACAAACATAAAATTGATTAGCATTGAGAATCTCGAACTATTGGTATTCACCAGTAAGCGTTATTTTTATGTACGACTGTCGCGAGTGAACTACCTTAAGTTTAAATTTGCAACCATATTCAAAGTCCGGAACTATTCATAGCAAAATGGCGCTTTTGTTTATAATTTTGAGAACTTGAAAATACGTGTGGCACTCGGGAACTGCCGCGGTAAAAATATTGCATAGCATTTTTTATCAACTTATGTAATTATAATTATTTATTTATTTTATTTATGCAGTATTTTTTTTTCTTTGATATTAATTCAAGTTTTTTCTTTGATATTAATTCAAGTTTTTTGAGCGTGGTGACCGATAAGAAAACAATTTTTTTTCTTTTATTGAATAAATGAGAAGTTAATATTGTTTAAAATATTTTTATTATCTTACAATACATGTAGGTTATTCAGGAATTTTTATCATTGAAACTATAGGTTTATGGTAACTGAAATAAGAAACATAAGTTTGAGACTTGATATCCTCTAAATATCTGGAAAACCGCATCAATGGTAGTCCCATATTTTGTTGTGGATTCTTGTGGATCATTATTCATTTTCAAATTCGAATCAGTTATGAGCAGTTAGCAGCTAGTTTACACGCATACGTCTAGTCGCATGCACACAAACACCGTGCCGAAGTCTGCCGAACTGAAACGACGTTAGACGATGCACGGCTTTCAACGCTGCACCGCTGTGCCGGTCGGAGTGGGGGTTGTTAGGTTTATTTTCGTTACGGAATTTCTTGATATTAATATTTAATATTTACGCCAGCCGGGAACATTTGTGATACCAATTTATTAGAAGCCAGAGAAAGCTCTTCTATGTAGTTCTTGTATTGCATAAACGTTCCAGTCTGCAGACGTATATTTAACTCTGCTTCATACTAATAGGGTCGGATAAAACCTTCCACGACTTTCAACGCCGCACCGCTGTGCCGGTCGGAGTGGGGGGCGTTAGGTTTATTTTCGTTACGGAATTTCTTGATTCGGTCGCCGCGCTCAAAGCCCGCGATAAAAGCTATGCAATAGCTTAATAATATATATTGTATTATTTTCACCATTACAGATTTGCAACTTTTCTTAAAGTTCGAGACTTGATTTTTTTTATATAATAGCGTTTTTTTATATCATAGTTAAAAAATTGCAAAAGTACTACAAAAGACATAACTCATACAAGTTTTTGGAACAGCTATTCCAATTTACAAACTTTTATTTTGCACACAAATACATATTTTTTTAAATAAAAAAATTTCTTATAGATGTGTTTTTTTGGTTGTTAGTAAAGAACCTATGTGACTTCCCTTATTTCTAACTTCGTTTCTATATATTTTTGTAAATAAATAAAGAATTTCAAAAATGATATAGGTATATTGTTTTAAATTAGGTCACACTATTCGCAGTGTATACCATTCACATTTATTTCATCCATGAAACATCCTATACCAACCTAATAAATAAAAAAAAGTGCAATTTCTGCCTATATTAATAAAATGTTAGTTTTCGTTTTGTATTTTTTTGTCATTTTTAATAACCGTAGTATATAATATAACATTTTAAAGTGAAAAATGAAACAAGTTTATGGGCCTATAAATCACTAAGTACTAAGAACTGTTAGTAGTAGAAGTAGTTGTTAAAACGTAATCTTTTTAGTTTCGCATATAATATCTCTAGAAGTGTCAAATATATTGCATTTTTATTCTCGTCAAAATTCTAACACCCTATACTATTATAGGTACATAAACTTTGTGCAATATCTCTTACTTATACCCTTATATTACCTACCTACAATATAAATGTCTATAAACAAGATATATGATTAGAAAAATAAATATTTCATTTTTAAAATATTCTAAACATAAATTTTAACTTTACTATATAAAAAATATATTATAAAATTGTCCTTGTAAAAGTTTGCCACCGCCTATATAAACGAAGTGCATTTTTCCGCCGGAGGCGCCACTTGACGGTGTTCGAATTTGTGCTTGTAAAGACACAGCTGATAACGTTTTACTAGCTTATTTTTGAAGAAATATTTTTTCTTGGATTAGAATATTGTTAAGGGATGAATTTAAGTTTATCTTAGACCAGTTTTTTTATTTTTTTCCTATGAAGCACGAAATTAGGTCGTAAAAATCTTAATTTTTCGACATTTTAGGCACTCTGTCAAAACAACACCTAAAAAAAATTTTGTTCCAAGATAAACCTTTATAATTGTTTTTTCTAGACATTCCAAAAATATTTTTTTAAGCATTGAAAAATAAGGCTGCAATCTGTTATGAGTCGACTCTCTACATTTGTGTCAAAACTCGAGCGTTAATGCCCTGTATAATTTTAAACAAAAAATATTATAAAATATGATGGCCATTTTGCCTGTCCGATTAACATAGTTTTATGCATTGCCTATTTGTTTAACATAAATAATCATTATTTGCATAAATGCAACAATTTTGTGTTTTAAGATTCCTTTTTACTTTGATACAAGAAACGGTAGTATGGCAGACAATTATGCAGCTATGTGTAAATAATTACTAATATTAATAGGTAATGAACATGTAATATATATTCATAAAATCAAGACAAAAAAAGAACCTTCACCTACAAGTACGGGATATAATCTTTCTTTATAAATTATTCAGTTACTTAACTGTTTAATAATTAAAAATTAAATTTATAACATGTCACGAAGGCTGAAAATGAAGGCATTTGAGTAGGTGACAGAACAAAGAGGACATACATTCATTTATTATTTATATGTATATCAACTTCTCATCAGTCTCTCATATA